GATTTCACTTATAATTAATATATGACATACAGCAATCATTTTTATTAATAGTTAGAATTTATTTTTATTACAATATCAAAATATTGAGTGCTTCTTGTTAGTAGGAAAAAAATTAATAAGTTTTTACTTTTCATTTGGTAGTATCTAATAAAGTTAAGACAAGAATATTTTTTATTTTTGTTTCTAAAATAATGTTTCCTTTTACAGACTTTTATCATTTCGTACATCAAACATCAGCTAAATTATTAATTCAAATTCTGCGACAATATTTTTGTCACAACAAAAGTTTTAAAAAATAGAAATAAATTATAATTTTTAATTTTTTTAATTGATAGGTGTATTTTATATTTCGTACGTCTTCATTCATATCTATCAATGTTTTCGACGATAATAAAGGAGAATTGACTTGATTATAGAAAAAATACTTTTGAATAATTATTTTCTTCATTTTTTTTCGAACAACTATTACAAACAATGTAGATAAAGTTTGATGAATCATGGTTCTGTATATTTTATAATGCCATTCATTACCCGGATTCTTTATTTTCATCTAAGTATTTTTTTAGATAAATTACATTAAAATGAATTATAAAATATTCCTGTGAATATGACTGTATGGATACTATTAAATAACATTCAAATAACTATTATCTGTATCATTCTTACTACAATAAGCGAATAATTTCATGACTGAAAGTCAGACAAAAACGATCATTGAGTTTGGAATTTTGTCAAATATTTAATGATAATATATAAGGAATACGACGATAATGTGTTGTGTGTCTTCTTGCCAAATCTTTTATCGTAAATATGAGTTCACAATTGATTTACAGTAAAGATAATATAATTCAAAATACTCATCATCAATGACATTGAATAAAAGTGCAGCTATCATGTTCCAATGAATCTTCTTACATATGAATTAATTCTACGAGTATCAAGAACATGATTATGGGCTTTTTGCAATATATCTCTTGTGCATGCATCTTTTAAGTACATCTGATTCTTCGAAAACGATGCTAAAGATCAGATAGCATTGATCTATAGTCCATACAACTATTTCTATTGCCTAGAACATGTCTTTTTAGGTTTTTGTATAAACATTCTCTTATGAAGTGCATGATATATATATATATAAGCTGAACAAAAATATTGTTTATTCAATGCTTTCTAGGTACTAAATAGGTAAATAGAATTGTCGAAATCTTACAATGACCAAGATGAACAAAAGATAAAATTTTAATGATATCGAAAATCGTTCTTCTGTACATTTTCGAAGTGAAAAAAATGTGTCCACTTGGTTTTTATTCAGCCTGTTCAGAGTTCATATCGGTTCATATATAAACTGTTCATAGAAACTATATAAATGCTCTGTTTTTTGTTGTATATAGTCTATGGTACAACTGTCCACATGGAACCTGTAGTATGATGATTGATCTTGTTTACTTAGGTTTGATAGGATGTTACTTTCAATTACTATATGTATATATTCATAATGCATTCATTTGTAGAAATAGATGATTTATCAATACAGTCTTCATGAACTAGTACTTCATTTCGTTTGATTTATTACATTTTTACTTGATTCTATCGTACATGTTACAGAAATTTCGAGACAAACGTCGTGTTTAAATCTGATTGATTAGTTACAAACCTTTTGACAAAGCTTGGAATTGATCCATCAGGTTCAAATTCAATTCCTTCATAAAAAGTATAAATATGAGCACATTTTCAATAAAAGAAAAAGGTAATTTAGTATCATCCTTCAGAATGTTTCTTCTCTCCCCTTAAAACAAGTATTCGTCAATGAATTACGCAAGTAATCCAAGTTATCATGACCTAGTTGACAATGTTATTGAAAAAGCCAAACAGATGCTTATCATCCATCAGAGATAACAAGCTATTTTGTTGGAAAAAATATGGACTATCGATATTAAGTGAATACTTTTCGATTATATCTATTTCTATTAAAACATAAAAATAATAGTTACACTCGAATCTTGACAGACAATATTATAATACTACTGAATATGGCGATGGAAAACTCTATTATTCTTATCTTCGCACAAAATTTCTCAAAAATGTAAGTTAAGAAAAAAGAAAAATGAGAAATACCTGATGTAGTAGCCTTGAACATTAATGGAAATGTCTTGTTTAATATTATGATGCTAATCTTCATAAAGAAACTCTTTTATCATAAACTAACATTCGTATAAGAAAAACATATTCAAAAGACAAATAATTTTTTAGAATATATTTAGTGATGGAACTTAGGAATGGTTCCTTCAGAAACCTTTGAGTTTCCTCTAAAAATGAGACACAAGAGCTAAGTCCTACTGTACAGATTTAATTCTTGCTCCACCACTAGATCTATTAGAAGTCAATCCTTTTCTTAATTACATTAATTGAATAGTTAATAATGATCTGTATACCGTACTGGACAAAAATATAAGAACAATATATTTTTGATTTTTTTCTATAATAACAAGCATCTAACTCAAATCCAAATAGTGATTCGGATAGCCAATGACGAGCTCTATCAAATGCATCGTATTCCAAAACGTTATAGATGATTTGAGGGAGTAAGGTTTCTAAAAAAGTAAAACCCGTATTTTTCAAGCGCCAGAAGGCTTCATCATAAGTCGATTTTAGCAGTACCATCTTAAAGAGCACAAAATTCTGAAGAAAATGAAGGGTTGCTGCGTTTTCTACGACCTTTCTTTCAAAAGTTATAAGCTTCAGAAAGATCGAAAAAAACGTGATTTTTAGTCCATTTTCAGCGTTTTCTTGATAAATTTAACTTTTCTCCGATTTTTGAGAAGCTTATAACTTTTGAAAGGAAGGTCGTAGAAAACGCAGCAACCTTTCATTTTCTTCAGAATTTTGTACTCTTTAAGATGGTACTGCTAAAAAAAGACTTATTATGAAGCCTTCTTACACTTGAGAAATACGTATTTTACTTTTCTAAAAATCTTACTAGCTCAAATCATCTATAAAGTTTTGGTATAGAATGCATTTGATAGAGCTCGTCATTGGTTATCCGAATCACTATTTGGATTTGAGTTAGATGCTTGTTATTATAGAAAAAAATCAAAAATATGTTGTTCTTATATTTTTGTCCAATACTGTATTTTTATCAGTATTGACTATACAAGACGAGTTTCTGCTGAGTTTCTTTTTGCTTGCTTTTCTTTTGAATAAGTTGCTTTAAAAAGTTATTGTATCTATAATATATGGATTCTAAACAAGTTAAAGATTCATAAATGGAAAATATTCTAATTTGCAATATAAAGTTGATAACAATATAACAATAAGTAAGGTTGTCATTATAAAATTAAAGATATTCCTTGAAGAATGATTTATCAACTATATATGATATATAAGATTTAAAATATCAGGATTCTTTTTTTATTTTCAAAAGAAATATTCATACAAGAAAACGAAGAAATTTATTATGAATCTTTTTTATTGTGTTCACACATTAGAAACTACAATGACATCTTCATAGATAATTTTCAAAAGAAAAAAAAAGTAAAACAATTGATTACACTATGTTTATAATATCCCATTAATTACATTATATCGATATGTCATCTTTCTTAATTATTTTAATTAACGAATAAAAACTGAATTTATTCAAAAGTTAACGCACTTTTTTTTGACTCTTTATTTGTGGTTTAAACCCTATAAATAACTTTTAACTGCTCAATTCATTGCTATATAAAACGACAGAACAACAAAAAATGTGTCTTGAACTTTTATCATAGCCCATGAAAGAAAGGAAAAAGAAAAACAAGAGAATGCATAAGAAAAGTGCACTCTAAGCGACAGAACGAAAGAAAACGAGAAAAAAACAATCTGCTTGCAAAAAGTATGTCTTTCATATAACGGTTAAATGTAAGTTAGTTTTAGAATAGTCCGTAACAACACGGAAACCATCGAACTCATTGATATCTTCGATGGAGAAGTTTTTGAACTAAAAAAGTTTTCTTTCTTCATATAAATCAATAGCACAATCTTATCACATTAATCAAGCTAACAAATCTATAAAGTTTAGTGGGATCAATGAGTTATCAATGTTTGTAGTTTTTATCCGAAAAAATATCTGTTTGGTTTTTTGCTAACTAATTAGACTATATATTACGGAATCTTATTTATTTTTCATTGATATAGCTGAAAAAAATTCACATTTCATGGAGCCTACCGTACCTTGAATTATATTGTTGTCATGTATTATGCCTACTTTCTCTGTCTAATGAATAGATATTTTCCATGATTATTGGGTGTTTTTTTCTTCTTCTTTTATTAACTAAAATATTTGATATTTTTATTTTAGGATAACAATATTAAGAAAAATAAAAACAATATTCATCATTTAATAGTTTCAATTGATACTAAAATAAAATTTTCATCGCATGAATCTTTGAGATTTTTATCGTAAAAAGAATATATTTTGACGAAAAACAGTACTAATATCGCTGTATGGCTTAATGAATTAAAACCATTATTTCATTTCTTCATATTTTTATATCTGTAAAATGGAAATGTTCAGCATGCTCTTTTTTCTTTACAAGTACTCAGAACTGTCTCAGGCTATTGAGTACACAGAACTTTAAAAAATAATTGGCACATATATGGATGTAGATACTGTGATGCTTCTCCTGAAATATAATGCCAAAGATATTGCTTTGAAAACAGAAAATCATGAAAATAGACAAAAGAAAAACGTTTTTTCAATCTTTTGACTTTTTATTACTCTAAAAATAATCGAAAGACTTATGTATTTACTATATAATCATGGTGTGTAAAGGATAATCATTATATCTTATCACATCAGAGCAGATCTCGTACGAGTAAAGTCATTTATAACAGAAAGATATTTGTACTGTTGGATTACAAGAATTTTTTGAATTGAGCATTTCTATCTATCCTTAAATTTGATCATATTCAGACATGTTATAAACTTTCCTTGTAGAATTTTATTAAGAAGTAAACACAAGATGACATTCAAACAGTATTCATCTATATCATCTTCATTAGAACATAGCAATGTCAATACAATTGTAAGAACAGAGTTGAAAAAATCATCTAATTCAAAGACTTGTCGAATATGTGATGACAAAGCACGTATTGTTAATTATGGTGCACTTTCTTGTCAATCATGTAAAACATTTTTTCGTCGTAATGGATTTCGTCCACAAGTTTGTTTTTAAAAATGATAATTATGTTGATAAAGTCTTATGACAAGACAATATATATTTGATAGGATGTTCGTCCATGTATTTTCGATGCATGTTGTGAAATTAACATGCAAACACGACATACATGTGCTGCTTGTCGTCTTGCTAAATGCCTTATGATGGGTATGAGTCCAGATTTCATTCGTAAAGAAGATCGCACAATATCAAAAGGCTCATCATCATCATCATCATCATCAAAACCAAACAATGCTGAACAAGTTGTATCCAAACAAACAACAGTTAGTATAAAATAATAGCATGTGTATGTACTCGATAGAGTATCAAACAGTGATAAAAGTAATATGAAATTCCACTAAATACATTTCTACGTTGATATCGTTTTTATTTTAGATATGAGTAACATACATATTATTTTTATTTGTTTTTACTAAGTTGAAATGTTGTTTATTAGTCTCATTCCAATTAGACATAAGTGTAGAGCTATTCCTTATGAGAATATCTCATCTAATCTATTCGATAACTAGTGTGGTATGAATCATTGTCTGGAACAATGTATAGTGCAAAGTTGTGTGAATAAAAAAAAAAGAAAATATTGATAGTAAGTATCTGAATATCCTGTATGAATAATCTGTATATGAATATTTATTTAGTATCTTAATTTAGGTGTGTTATTTCAGAAACGAGTTTCTTCGAATTTAGTTAATACGGCAGAAAAAGAATTGAATTAAGTTTGTTCTATATCTGTATATGTTAAAGGAGAAAAACTTCATAAAAATCTTACTTTCATTACCTTACAATACTATAAAATAATTTTTGATATAAAAAATATTCTTCATTGAAAAGATAAATCTCTTTCTTTTATTTAGACTACATTACAACTAGCAACATTGGATATTCTTCAAGGTGATCAAACTCATCTTGACAATTCTGAATTGACATTACTGTCGAATATTATACATGCTTATGATAAATACAGCATTGATTCACAAGTACGTCTTGCTATCGATAGTCTAGCAGCGCATCCTATTGCAATGCACATTACTATGATAGATCCACTTGAAATTATGCGACAAATATATACATCAACTCGATCATTTATTAGTTCTTCACCTGATTTTCAAATATTAACTGTTGATGAACAAACTTCACTTGTCGAACGAAATTTACATGGTATTATCGGTTTAAGTGAACTGTTATTCTTTCGTAATACCGGTATTCTTCACAATCCTTCATGTATGGAAGCATTTACAATGGTTTATGGATCAGACATGATGTTAATAACAAAAAATTTGAATGAAAGATTAGAGCCTGATTCAACACTTGTAAAACTGATGCTCATCACATTAGCTTTCTCGTCGAATTGTTTAATTTTGAACATAAATGAGAAAATGAAAGATGATCGTCTATTATATGGAACATTCCGTCTCTTAGGAAGTCAAAATGTTTATGCCGAACTTTTTTGGAAATATATGATTTATCGATGTGGTTATAACGAATCAGCAATTCGATTTTCCCGACTTATACAAATCTTTTTATGTATTCTAGCAAATTTCTCAACTGTTTTTACAAACAATGAAGCTCATCAAAAAATGGCTGATGATGCCATCAGAGAAACAAAACAATCACTCACTATTGATGCTAATGAGCAAATCCTATTATGGGGAAAGATATAATCATTCACTCATAAGACGATATTTTCTCATTCTTGCATTTTTCTGTAAATTAAAGAAAATTGTTAAAAATAAATTGATGTTTAGTCTATGGTCATTGTGATGACTTGACAATTTTGATTTAAATCAGCACATTATTCTTTGTATTTATTGATACATTCTAAAGATTAACTCGAAAGGTGTCACAATATTTTCATATATGAAATATCCATTAAGATGTATTAAATGACAGATGTTTAAAAGCAAGAAATATTAATGAAAAAATTCTGATCATAATATAACTCAACAGTTTCGATGTTTCTTTTGGAACACTTTAATCTTAATATTTGGTGAATACTGAACAATCTTTGAATATATATCAGAATCTTAAATATAACAGTAAACCAATCGTTGAAATTATTTGAATTTTCTATAAATGTCATATAGGACTTTGCAATCATTTTTCAGTTATTTTCTTCTCAAATATATTAGACATCTATCGTTATGCAAAAATTCGTAATAGTTCGTTCAATTGTCTTCTATTGTCTTTGTCGTGTCTAAGAATATCTATTATCATATTTATCAAATATTCATAACCACACACTTTCAATAGAAATTAAGTAAAAAAACAATCAAAACCAAGATCAATAATATAGATGTTCAAAACACATTAGCACAAATGCTGTTGGTGAAGTACTCCAATGAATGTACTGAATTTACGATATTCTGCTACCAATATATCAAAGAAACTTTGGGATTTTTATCACTTGATTACAAGATGTTTCTTAATGTTAAATCTATTAACTTGTTGAAAAATTTTTCATAGAATTCTATAGAAACTGGATATGAACCTGGCAATTACCCATGTACTGAGATAATTTTCAGCAGAGTACTCAACCAAAATCCTGTAACATATTGAAAGTAGGGTGTCAGAAAAACTATCCTACTGAAAATTAACTCAGTACACGGGTATCTTGAATTCAGTTCATTCACTAAGCTGACTTTACATGATTATAAAAATATGTTATGAAGAAATTTCTCTGTTTTGAAATATGTTCAGCGAAATACAGATGTACTTTGGAAAGCATTTCGAATGGTCTCTTGTTTGAATAATGAAAAAAATGTTTCTTTATACGATTAAATTATAACTTACATTAGTTTATTTTTAATTCGAACACACACATTATCATAAAATAATTATTTTTCCATGCATCAACAATAATTGAAAAGACAAAAGTCTTCTCCTAACGTTTTTTGCATGAAATTCATTTGACGTCAAGTAAATGTTGGTTACACTAATGACTTAAATACTGTATGTTAGTATAGTGTATGATTGATTACAACCTTCGTCGATGAAGAATGTATATCTTACAATACAGTTGAGCAACACAACAAATAAGTAGGTTGATAGAACAGTTCATAGTTCGATTATCTCTTCTTTTTTGATATGTTTCGAGTTTTTTGTTTTACTAGTTTTGCTTTATCTGTATATGTATAATCGACTATATCACATTCGTCAAGAAGCCTCGAATCGGTGACAAAGAGAAGTTGATGATCGGAACCAGAGTAACAGTTAGCAGATACAAAAACAGAGATAACCTAGTCGTGAAACATTCTGTCAATCAACTTATTTGTAGTATTGCTTAATTGTATTGAGAGACGTATATTTTTTTAACCAAAGAGGTTCTAGATGAAAAGAATGATGGGGGAAGATGGCCATGGAAAAGGCTTTTGCTAAGGGCATACTTACATGATAAATCGAACACATCTATGTTTTTGTTACGATTATTTAAGATTAATTAATAAGTCTTTCTTGAAGAACTAACTTTCTATTACTGGTATTTTTTATTTTTAAGCATTGGAAAAAGTTATTTATCTATTATAAAGCGTAAAGATTGCCTAATTAAAACTAAAAAAAACGAAACAAAAACAATCATCTTACTAAAGGGAATAAATGAAAATAAACGATATAAAAAAAAACATACGGTCAACTATGTTGATTAACCCTTTGGTTGTCGCCGACGCATCTATTCGTCAAGAGTCTCGTCTTTGCAAGAAGTAAAGCAACCATTCATAATGTATGTTTTTCAAAAATATTTGCGTAAAAACAAACCTTAGGCACCATGCGCTTCCAAAATCATAATTTTATTAAGGCGCGCTATAGGATTGTTTCATAAAAAAGAAATAATTTTTCTGAAAAATCGCTTCCTCCTTCTCTTATGACGACAGTCAAATGGTTAAAAACGCAATGAAAGCAGAAAGAACGACAAAATATTTACTTAATGACAATTTTTTACCAATACAAAAAAAATACGTCACATAATGACGAGGCATAGGCATACAGTTACGAGTCATTGTTCTTATGCAATACGTTTTTAGTCATAAAATAGTATTACAAAATTTAGTCTAAGGAAGTGGTACTGTTATTGAAGGTATATAAGAGAGTAAGAGTACAAATAAATGGAGTACAGGTACTCACAAGTACATTTAGATACTCAATATGACTGAATCAAACAAAACTTCTGACAATATCAATACTCAAATTGATTACACGACACCAACACCACGTTTCTCAGTAACGAATGATAATACATTAAAGAATGGTCTAGCTTATATGATGGAGAACGGCTATGCTGTTTTTAGCGATATCCTGAATCAAGATGAAATTATTGAAAACAAGAATTTATTATGGAAGTTTCTTGAAAATGCTGGCGATGGTACCATACGACGAGATGATCCTGAGACATGGTCAAATGGATGGTAAAAAAAAAAGACTAAAACTCATGTTAAATGTTAAAATTTAATTTTTTCTATCCTTATTAGGCCAAGTTTCAGTACTCACGGTGTCATTTGTGGATATGGTATTGGTCAATCTGATTTGCTGTGGAATGTTCGATCAAATCGAAATGTGAAAAAAGTCTTTTCTCATATGTGGAATGACCAAAAATTGCTGGTTTCTTTCGATGGATGTGGTGTGTTTCGTGATTGGCGTTATAATTCAACATGGAAAACAAATGGTGGTTGGAATCATGTAGATCAAAATCCAAAAGTAAAACCCGATCAATGTTGCGTTCAAGGTTTGGTTTCATTAACGGATCAAAGCGAAAAAACCGGTGGTCTTATTGTTTATCCACGAACACATTTACGTTTTACTGAATTGTCTGATGTGACAAAAAATTCCAATGATTTCGTCCGAGTTTCTGACGATCATCCAATTATGAATCAAGGTAAAACGCTTGGTAAACTTGTACATTGTCGAGCTGGTGATCTTATCATTTGGGATAGTCGTACTGTTCATTGTAATTCACCAGCAACTGCACCCGAAGAACGCAACAAAAATGAACCTGTCGATCTTTTACGTATCGCTGTATATGTTTGCATGAGTCCAATTTCTTTGGTACGTGGTCAAACACTTGATGAATTTCGAGAAAAACGAAAACAAATGGTAGAAAATAACTGTACTCTAACACATTGGAGTACAGAACTTGTTTTAGGAGGTAAAGTTTTACAATTGAAAAATTAAATCATTCAAAATGAGTTTTTTTTAGGTGGTGTCAATGTTGATTTACCCAAAGTATCACTCGATAAATTCAATGCTTATCAAAAAGCTCTTATTTTTGGTCTTGGGGATAATAATGAGGAATAAACATTAATATAATTTGATTGTTTTTAATATAATATAAACAGAATTTTTCTTATAGAACAATAAATTATTAAAATAATTACAAAATATGCGTATGAATTCTCTACTTTTGACTTTGATTTATTTTGAAAAAACTATATTTATGTTTTTATGTCAACAGAAAGTTGTCCTTTAGCATAAGATAGTATTGAGTTCAATTGAAACATCTCCCATTGTTTCTTGAAATTGATAAAAAGTTTTTATTAAAAATAAAAGTTTTTTCCTTTAGGGTACAATGATAAAACTATCACTTTTTCACGTTTTGCGACTCAAATTTATGACATTGTCAATTCATCAATATTAGTATTTGATCTATTTCATCGAAATTCTGAAACTTATTTTTTTTTTCTATGCGAAAAAAAAACATCTGTAGGTTTTCTTTTCAAAAAATGCAAAATCATTAATTTATTTTTGTTTAGTTGATTAATATTCAGAATACAAACGTAATGGTTAAATACCATTATTTATTTGTAAATTAATTAAGCACATAAATGAGATAATATAAAAAGCAATGAATGACAATACAGTTACACATTAGTACAACAGATGTAAAAAGCGACTATATGATACTGCAAGATTAAATATATAGAGTAAGATATATTATAGAATATTTTTCTTATATCAAATGTGTAAAGCTGATCAAACTTGTTGATTTGCACCTGAACCAAATCGACTGTTGAGCTTACTAACTATAGCTGCTAAAGCCATAACATCTGTCAAATCAAGTGTACCATTACCATTTTTATCAATAGCTTTAAATAAAGCTTTTGATAAATCTAAATGTATCAAAAAATGATAAATAAATGATTTAATGATACTAAGAAATACATACGTGGTGAAACAGAACCAAGTCCTAATCCTTGAAGAAGAAGTTGAATATCTTCAATAGTAATTTTACCATCACCATTTTTATCTAATGCTTTAAGCAAACTTTGTAATTGTTGAGCATTCTCATAAGTGGTACCTGATTTTAAATATTAGTATCATAGTAAAAAAAGAAATACGATGATTTGATTACATACCAATAGTATCAAAAATATTGCCTCCACCGCTAGTGCCACTACTGCTAGGCCCTTTGCCACCTGAAAACGTTTTATAAACTTTCATTGCATTGTTAATCATATCAGCCGAATTACCACCACCACCGCCACCACCACTAGCACTTTGCCCTTCTCCTCCACTACTACCTTTGTTACCCGAAAACATTTTGTAAGCATTCATAGCTCCACTGAGTAAATCTCCAGAACCTTTGCTTTGCCCTTTGCTACTTCCACCACCGAACTAAATAAAAAATATCGAATTATTAATAGATCTTTATGTTCTAGAAAAAAAAACAGATTTT